GAGAGGGATGGTAGGTGGATGGAGAGGGGGATGGTAGGTGGATGGAGAAAGGGATGATAGATGGATGGAGAGGGATGGTAGGTGGATGGAAAGGGATGACGGCTGGATGGAGAGAGGGATGGTAGGTGGATGGAGAGGGATGGTAGGTGGATGGAGAGGGGGATGGTAGGTGGATGGAGAGAGGGATGATGGGTGGATGGAGAGAGGGATGGTAGGTGGATGGAGAGAGGGATGATGGGTGGATGGAGAGGGGGATGGTAGGTGGATGGAGAGAGGGATGATGGGTGGATGGAGAGAGGGATGGTGGGTGGATGGAGAGAGGGATGATGGGTGGATGGAGAGGGGGATGGTAGGTGGATGGAGAGGGGGATGGTAGGTGGATGGAGAAAGGGATGATAGATGGATGGAGAGGGATGGTAGGTGGATGGAGAGGGGGATGGTAGGTGGATGGAGAGGGGGATGGTAGGTGGATGGAGAGGGGAATGATAGATGGATGGAGAGGGATGGTAGGTGGATGGAGAGAGGGATGATAGTTGGATGGAGAGATGAATGGTAGGTGGATGGAGAGGGGGATGGTAGGTGGATGGAGAGAGGGATGGTAGGTGGATGGAGAGAGGGATGATGGGTGGATGGAGAGGGGGATGGTAGGTGGATGGAGAGGGGGATGGTAGGTGGATGGAGAAAGGGATGATAGATGGATGGAGAGGGATGGTAGGTGGATGGAAAGGGATGGTAGGTGGATGGAGAGGGATGGTAGGTGGATGGAGAGGGGGATGGTAGGTGGATGGAGAGGGGGATGGTAGGTGGATGGAGAGGGGGATGGTAGGTGGATGGAGAGGGATGGTAGGTGGATGGAGAGGGATGATGGGTGGATGGAGAGAGGGATGGTAGGTGGATGGAGAGGGGGATGGTAGGTGGATGGAGCCATCACCTTTCCGTAGCTCTGGGCCCTCTACTGCTGTGTGGCCTTGGAGAGCCCCTCCAACCCTAGGACTGCCCCTGGTCTGGAGTGGGGTGTGCTAGAGCCACCTGGTCCCGTCTAACACTCTGGCCTGGATGACAGTGCCCTTGGCACATACTTAGCCCCTGTCTCAGTGTCCGGCCAGTGAGGACCTGGCCACTTGCTCTCGGGTCCCCCAGCAAGAAAAGACAGGGCTGACCTCTTGGTGCGCACGTCCTCTGTGGCTGATCTTCCCCAGTCCTCCTGACCACCCTGGAGGTGCTGTACTGCACTGTGGGGCTGGACTTCCCCTGCACCTCAGATGGACACAGCTGTGACCCCAGGAAGCAGAGCCCTTCCCAGTCCCTCCTAGTGGGTCCCCCTCACCCTACCAGGACAGGGCCATCTGGGCCAAGAAGTGGCAGGAGCCCTGGGTAAGTGCAAGGGCAGTGGGTGGGTGAGGGGTCTGGAGGGCAAAGGCTCTGCTCACTGAGCACAGAGGCAGGCCGTGGCCCCCCACCTGGGATACAGGCCCCCGAGCATTCTGAGGGCCAGTTGAGCCCAGCGCATCAGAGAGCCACACCACACACGCGTGTTCGCCTGCCCTAGGGGGGCTTCTCAGAGAGCCTCTATTTGTCCCATCTCTGCATCCCCCACCATGCTCAGCCCCAGGCCACGGCACCAGACCCACAGACTGGAGGGGTGTGTGCTTGACTTCATCCTAATCCAGAAGGTCCCCAGGGTGAGACGCCACCTCTGGCCAACGTGCAGCGTGCCCACTACCTGACAGAGGGGAAAGAGAGGTGCAGATAAGACGGCTGGTGAGGCCGTGGGCTGGGGCAGCCGTCACTCCACAGCCGTCACAGGGTCACCAGGCACCTCTGAAATGCCTAGCATGGCCTTCATAAAATCTCACAGCAAGACGGCATGAAAACTCACCTCGGGCAGCCCACCCTCGATGCCCACTCTCACGTTGGAATAACTGCAGCCCTACCAAGTGCTTCTCAAACTGGGGAACCCCTCCCCAGCCCCTCGAGATGCATGGGGATGGGAAGAGGAGCCCTGGGCGTCCAGGACCCATCGGCTAAGCCTGTGCCTGGGACGGCAGCTCCGGTTTTGTCTGAGCAGTTCAGGGGAATATTATGGTTCTGTCACAGCCGGGGAAGCGCATTGTGGATTCAGTGTAAGACGTGTGTGAATTTTTAAGATAACAAATAAGACTTCAAAGAAATGTCATGCTTTCTCTGGCCCCCTTCTGGCAACAGACGCCCAGGTCCCCAGGGGTGCAGGCTTACTACTCCCTCTCTTTGGAGCCTCGGGAGGAAAAGTGCACACCTCCAGTGCAGTGCCTGGTGCCCTCTATCACCTGGACAGGCCATTTAATCTCCTCTGCCGGAGCGCAGCCCGCCGTGCACAACACACACTCTGGCTCTGTGTCACGCCACCGTGTTAGAAAATGAAAAAAATAAATAAATAACCAGTCCTTCCTTTACGCTCAGTAAAGGAGAAAAACACTGCAGAATCAACTCCACAGACAGACAAAAGGTTTCTGCCGCCTCAGCAGAAATACTCAGCGTCTCCATCTACAGAGTCGGGGTGAGCCATGGGCCTGGGGCACCCCGAGCTGAGGCCGGGAGGAAGAAGCGTCTGGAGGACTGACCCTCCCTGGCTCTCAGCTTGAGAAAAGCAGAGAGACGTGGACGGTCCCTCTGTCACGCTGCACACACAACCATGACCCACGTCTCCAAGGGCAGGGAGACCTCAGAGAGCACCCTTCAGGGGTGCTGGTCAGGGTGCAAAGCTCGGGGTATTTGCCGTGAAGTGAGGGTCCCCATTCTGCAGAGGGTGTGGGCTGTAAGTAATTAAAACATGATTATGGGCTGGGGCTGGGGCTGAGTGGTGGAGCACTTGCCTAGTACATGTGAGGCCCGGGCTCAGTTCTCAGCATATGATTTAATGAATAAAATAAAGGTCTGCAAACAACCGGAAAATATCTTTAAATAAATAAAAAATTATGACCCGGGCTCGGGAACCTTGTGAGCCAACGGAGTGTCCTATGGCAATGACCACGGTGACATTCTGGCCCACAACTAGGAAACAGCCTTCAAACGCCACCACTGGTCAGCTCTGCTCTTGTGCCCAGGAGGACACTGGTACCCAGCAAGCAGGGCGTGTGCATCGGACAAGGACCAGGCCCTCTCGGCGGGCCCAGGTCTAAAGGTCGTCAGCACCTGAAAGTCCTCTGCTTGAGGATGAGCTCCCTTGAGAGGACAGTGTCCTGTGAACACCGCTGGACGGGCAGCCAGGAGCATGGCTGTACCAACACAGGCTTGCTGTCCCGCCCCCACCACGGGCCATATGTGACCACGATCACTGTGTCCCAGAGCAAGGGAGACTTCAGGAGGGTGACCAGGCACCGTCCAGACCATTACATCAAAGGCGCTTTGTGCAAAGCCTTGCAAGGACCCTGCCACAGCCGTGGGGAAAACAGAAGCAGCAAATCTGTGCCGCTCAGAAACCCGAGAGGGAGGAGCCAAGGGGCATCGTGGCAGGTGGCACAGGGGCAGCCCCGCCGCACTCCTCTCACCTGCCACAGCCACAGGCAGGCTCAGAGGGCCAGAAGGCAGAGAGCTGGAAGGGCAGCGTCCGGGACAGGCCCACTGGACACCCAGCCCAGGGAGCACTTGCTCCAAACCCAGGGCAACGGGCCTGCCTGCTGGGACTCCATCCAGACCAACCACAGTGGCCGTGCTGCCGGGAGGGATTTCCTTTTTAAAATAACCATTTATTTTGAAATAATTTAAGGCTCATAAGATGTTGTAAAAATAGTACAGAGAACTCCCATGTACCCTTCTGTCATGGACTGAACTGTGTTTAAAATATATATATATATATATACACATGTGATGCTGAAGTCCTCACCCTCGGCACTTTAGAATGTCACTGCTTTGGAGACAGGGCCCTCGAGGAGGTGAGCAAGGTGAAATGAGGTCACTGCGGTGGGTCCTGATCCCGTATGAATGGCACCTTGTGAGAAGGGGTCAGGACGCAGGTGCACAGGGAGGCAGGGCCAGCCACCACAGGGGCCTCCAGAGGACCCTCCCCTGCGCGCGCCGTGGACCCCAGAAGATTGACTGCTGTGGCCCAGCGTGGTGCTCAGCTAGGGCTGAGCTCTCACCCATCCGGGGCTGCCATGGTCCCATCCGGGGGCCGGCCCTGGGCTCAGCAGAGGCCAGGCAGACATGGCCCACTCCATCTGCTGGCTCAAGCCTCCTCGGTGGGAGCACTTCCCAGACCCCCTGCTGCAAAGGAGGCAGCCCTGATTTCAGATTCACTGTGGACCTGACTTTTGTTTTAAAAAACAGCCGCAAAAAAGAACTTACTAGGAACATGGAATGAATTTACCAGAAAAATAGAACAAAAGATACATGTAAATCACAAAGCCCAATTCCTGATTAGATTCACAGACCTAAAATCACTCTTTCAAATTGCTATGAAAGACGCACTGCTATGGCTGGGATCTGGTGTCAGCGTGTCCCCCAGGATTCACATGTGGGTTACTTTGAACCCAGTGTGGCAATGTTGAGAGGTAATGGAACCTTCCGGAAGGGTAGCCTGGTAGGAAGTCCTCCAGCTACTGGGCCCTGACGTGGAAATCATTAAGGCGGTCATCCCAGAACACTGACTTAGCTCCTGCGAGAGCCCTTCCCTCTCTCTGGCTTCCTGACTGGCCACAAAATCTCTCCCTCCCCTGCCAATGTGGTACCATCTACCAGGAGGTCTGCACCAGAGCCAGGCAAATGCAGGCTCCATGCCCTTGACCCTCTAGAACTGTGAGCTAAATAAAGCTCTTTTCTTGTAAAGTTATCCAGCCTTGGGTATTTTGTTATAGCAACAGCAGACACTCTAATGCAGTTGCTCTCGAGTTCCATATTCAATCGCAGGGACCAGCAGCAGCAGCTCACAGATAGGCACTGGTCTGTGGACCTCACTTTGAGTAGCTTTGATATGGATCATCATGACACGTCTCATGTGAATGTCTAGAGAATTGCCAAGGGATCGAATTTGGAATGGTCCTATGCTCATCGTCTACCTGTGACTCCGTCTTCCCAGGGAACCCAGCTCAGTGTTGTGAGGATGAATGGGGTGATGACTCATGTGGACTGGGGACGATGGCCGTGTCAGCCAGGAAGACCATGCTCGGGTGCCCCTCAGGTCAGCAGGTGTCTTCACGCGGGATGTTGAGTTATGAGCGTGCCGGTTGACCTCTGTTCATCCTGGGCTTACCTTTGATTGCTTCCAGGTCCTTCCACAATGTCCACATCCTGATTAACCCCCACCGGGAGCTGCAGGTGGCCACGCCCTGCGAGCTTCCTGCAGTTTCAGCCATTACTCAGCAATGCACAGCGGCTCAAGGTCACCTCGGCACCATCTGTCCACCTCCCTCCCTCCCACCCCAGGGACAGGGGAGAGATTACCCTCCACCCCCTCTCCCTCCCTCACACGCTGCCCTCCCTGAAGCAGGCTTCCTGACTCCATCTAAATCACCTGTCTCCCGGGGCCTTGCCAACATGCCTCTCCTCTGCTGCCCACTCCTGCCCACAGATGTGATGGACAACGCCAGGCCTGAGGCTTGGTGCATCCCGCAAATCAGAGGAGAACTGGCTTCCTCCCCATTATAGGAGCCCTCGCCGTCCACCAGGCCTTGGTGGAGCTCGCTGGCCACTGCATGTGACGCTGGACGTGCATGCCCCTGTGGGAGAACTGGGCCAAGACGCCACGGGGCAGACCCGGGACCCGCCTGGTCCTGCCAAGAGTGAGACCAGGAGCTGGGTGCCGGCCAGGGCCCAGGCCCTCGTGGCCTCCATGACAGACCGTCTGCCTGGAACCAACAGATGGACACGGTCCACACTGAACCAAGGTGCTCTCTGTGCAGGACATCTGTGAGTCACCAGACCAGCCCTTATCACCGGGTGGGTCATCATCGCCAAAGAAGAAGAGGGTGCATTTCCCCAGACACTGCTGACCGCTGGCCACCTCAGACGGGTCCGTTGCAGAGCAGCCCACACCGTTTCTGCACCAGGCTCCCCTCTGCCCCAGGGGACTACTTGTTCCTTTTCCTGGCGTCCTCGTGGGTGTGGACAGTTCAGATCCCCACCTCCCCTGTCCCCGGGCTCCACTCCTCCCAGCGCCCTCAGCCCTCCCCTGCAGAGCCGCTGCCCTCCTACTGCCCGGGCTGGGCCACAGGAACCACCTGCCCCCCACCACCTTCCCAGGCCAGGCTCCACTCCTTCCCCCAGTGCACCCCGCCAGGCCCCCTCGAGGCTCCCGACACCCTCCGTCCCCAGCCAAGAGCTCTAACCGCCCCCTGACACAGGTGGGAGAGGAGCCCGCCGCTCTCCTCCCCACAGAGGTGTGTGCCCGGAGCCTGCCGCATGAGCCGGCTGCCTTAGGCTTAGATTCAGGGTCCGCCCTTAACTTCTCAGCTGGCTCTCGAGGTGGCAAGTCTAGGGGCACCTGAGGGGGTCTCCAGAGCCAGGAGCCGAGTAAATTTCTATTCTTCACAAATTATGCTGCCTCCATATTTTGCGATAGCAACAGAAACCTCACTGAGATCCCCCCTCACAGCTCCTCTGCTGAGTGGCCAGGGACCTCCTCACCTCCTGCCATTGTCCCGAAGCCCAACTTGCCTGGTCCTCTTGACACCATGTCTGCTAAGATTAGTGCTGTGGGGGCTGGGTCAAGGCCACCACGCCAGGGTCACCTTCCTCAGTGGGGTACGGAGGGTAGGTAGTAGAACTGTGTCCCTAGGAGACTGCTCAAGTCCTAGCTCCAGAGCCTGTGACCGTGACCTTATTTGGAAACAGGGTCTTTGCAGGTGCCATCACGAGGGACCCTCATGAAATGAGGGGCCTGGGACACACGCACACACACAGGAACATCCCACGGAGACACAGAAGGAGAGACACGGAGGGGAGCGGCCACCTGAGCACAGAGCAGAGCCCGGACAGACGCATCTGCACGCCCAGGAACGCCAAGGACAGCCACCGCCACCACCGGGAGAGGGGCCTGGGCTCCCGGCTGTGTTTTAGGTCACCAGCTACAGCAGCCACAGGACCCTGAGACCAGCTCTGAATCCAGTGTGCCTGCCCAGGTGCCACACCCGCGCCCCTGCCCCACCCAAGGCCCTCAGGCATCCTCAGGGGGGCAGCCAGCAGAGCCCCCGCGTCCCCAGGCCGCTCTGGCGCCACATCTGGAGACTCCTCACCCTTAATCGTTCCTAATGCTCTAACACACGATGACTAATGGGCTCTAATTGGCAGCCTCGCGGGGAGCGGTGGCCTGGGGAGCTCTGCCGTGCCCTCCGCGACCTGCACAGCCTCCTTGCCGCGCACTCCCGGAGCTCCAGAGTCACCGGGAAAAAATCGCTGGTCCATTTTTCTATTTCTTAAAAAATGCCGCAGCAGTGCCAACGAGCCACTGTGCCCTTCAACCACCAGAGACAGGGCGAAGGAAAGGGTGGAGGAGAAGCAACCAGATGGGACAAAATCTCACAAATGCCACTGAGGCCTGTGACAGCTGCCGGAGACACGCAGGAGGCCTCTTGGAGCAAGCCCAGCGCGAGTCCATCAGGGAGCGTGGAGAGAGTCTGGCAGAGTCCAGCCCAGATTTCCCCTTGAAGGGAAGCGACCAGGCACCTCTGATACCTGCTCGTCTCCCCCCGACCCGAGGGTGCCGCGCACCGTCCTTCCCAGACTGCAGAGAAGGAGCCAGAAGGTGGATGGGGCCACGCAGAGTCAGGCTGACAGATGCGGGGACCCAGCAGAGAGTTCAGAAAAGCTGGAGGCACCCAGAATCCTCAACTGCTGGGGGTCAGAGAGACAGAGGAGGAGACGGGCAGCCCGGGTCCAGGCCCTGTCTCCTGTCAGCAGGGCCCACTGCAGAGACAGTCCTGGCAGAGTTCAGAGGAAGGGGTTAGAGAGGTGAGCCGGGTTCATTCTCCAGGAGAGGAGGAAGCCCTGGGGTCTTCAGACGGATCCCTGTTTCCAAAGGTTGGCTCAAGCTAAGGGCTCGTGTTGAGCTGTCGGATGCCACCAGGACCTGCCCCACACCTGGGGATGGCAACCACAAGTGTCACAGAGACACCTCAGTGGCTCCCGGTGCCTCTAGGTAAAGCCCCGCTGTCTCTCCCCACCCTGGGAGACCACCCCTCAGACAGTGCCGGGCACACCAGCCGCTGATGTGGGCAGTGGAGGCTCAGCTCAGCCGGGTGCCAGGGGCCCTGTGATGGATGCTGGTTTAACAGCTTTTAAAAACAAGCAGACAAGAGACGGGCGTGATGGATGAGTGCGGGAAGCAGCCTCATTTGGGGATGATTTATGAGAGTCGCGTGTTGCCACTCATGGGTGCAGCCCCGAGGATGGGTCTGGGGAGACGGATGGGCTCCAGCACAGAGCCCCTGAGGGGCGTAGACCGCTCGCTGTGTCCCCACAGCGTGCTGCTCGTGCCTGGCCAGCTTGTGCCACCTGGCCATCAGGTGGCCACGGCTTCCCAAGAACCAAGGTGCTCCCGCCCCGAGAAACGTCTGGAGAAGGGACAGCCAGCCATGCCTTCAGCTCCTGAGTGACCCCAAGACACACTGGGTTGGGAGAATTCTGTCCCCTGGAGTGGCAAGGGGGACGCCCAGGAGGGAAGAGCATGCGATGCCCACCAGCTCTAGTCCCCAACGCTGTGGCCAGGTCGTCTCCTCCCACATCTGAGGGACCATCGGCCCCAGGCCTCAGCCACTGCACGTAGCAGACAAATCTCGTTTTGCCGAGATTAATTTCCATCCAGGTTTTTAATAAAGACTCGTAATTTACTGTATGGTAAGATCCAAATCGGATCCATATTTAGAAGGGATGAGCTTTGTAATGGGCTCTTACCCATGGGACCCTTTGTAAGCTGAAGGAACGTCTGGGCAGGGACGGTGGCCTGGGAGGAGACCGCAGGCTCCCCCACACCTCTCCCAAAGCCGGGGGTGTCTGGGTGAGGGCCACACCCAGCGGCCTGCGCGGCTCGGCCTTTCCTGAGCCCAGCAGCCTCTGTCCACTCAGGCTCCTGAGGCTTTTGTGGCCCTGACTTCCCCGGCCTCCCCTGACCTTGAGGCCACTCTGGCCCTTTCCTCCAGTGGCCTTCCACTGCCCCAGAGCCAGGCGGGCTGGCCTGCAGGACTCAGGTGCAGTACGCCCGCCCCAGGTGGACGAGGCAGCCCCCCTTCAGAGCCCACAGCTGGGTCTCGTGAGACCCTGGGGGAGGGTGCATGCAGGGGTGAGGAGCACAGCACCCTGGCCACTGACCTGCTTGCCTGGGCTCCTCCTTCAGAGACCTGCCACCCACCCTCCCAGAGCCCATTAAAAAAAAAAAACCAGGGTCAAGGCCACGCTCAGGTGGCTGGGACCAGAGTGTCTGCCCTGTCCTGTGAGCCTGCTGTCTCCTCCACCCCTTCCTGCGGAAGGGCAGGACTCTCAAATGCATGGCACCTATGTCACCACTTCAGGGCAGGCCCTCAGAGTGCAAGAGGGCAGGGGGTGAGCCGGCTCTGGTAGAAGGCCACTGGACAGTGACCCTGGCTGCCCACCCTGAACTTCCCAGACCCGCTGTCGGGGATGAGCCGGTCTTGGGCTTTTGGCTTTGATGGCCCCAAGGATGTATATATGCACCTTTGGGGGAGGAGAACACCTAGTCTCAGACCCTGAGCAAGGTGAGGCTGGGCCTTGCTGCCTCCTCAGAGGAAGCCATGGGGACTGGCTGCTCCCACCAGCTGCCCACAGGGACATCCGGGTTCTGCTGTCCTTCCAAGGACAGAGCCCCGTACAGCTGCTTGGAACCAGGAGCTCAAGTCTCCGAGGACAGTGGTCCTGAGGGCTTTCCTGCCCTGTGCTGAGGTCAGGGCCCAAACAGGCCTCTAGCAAGGTCCTGAAGCCCCCAAGGCCAGGATCCCGGCAGTGGCAGGTCCTGGACCCTTCGCTGCAGCACTGTGGAGCCAGGTCACCAGGAGCAAAGGCTGGCTAGAGGCTCATTCCACTGCCCTCGCCCGGTCCACGGCCCAACCAGCCCTCCCAGACAGAGCAGCCTCGTCTTCCTGCTCCGACTGCCCCACACAAGAGGCCAAGCCCGTCAGTCCCTTCCCCAGAGATCTCAGTGCCTCCCAACACGCCCACAAGATGAAATCCAAAATCCTTAATCCCTGTGTAGAGGCCACTAACCCCGGCCAGGGACACCCGAGACCTCGTCTCCTTCCACCCTGCTCTACCATTCAGCCCATCCACAGCTGCCTTGGGGCCTTGGCACCACCATGCCCTGCCGGGACAGTGGTCAGAGTCCCTCTGGGTTCTCCCTCCCCACCTCCATCTCTCTGCTGGGCCCCTGAGCCCTGTCCTCCACCAGCAGCAGTGTCCTCCCCTCTCCATCGCCTGGGTCCACTTCTTTCTCTCACAGCCTCTCCTGACCTGACATGACCTCAAACACGCCTGCTGTGGTCCTCGTCCACCTGGAATACAAAGGCTGTCAGGGCTGCGGCTTCTGCTCCTGCAGCTCCAGAGCCCCAGACAGGGCTCGGCTCAGCTCATCAGAGGTGTTCAAAGGTAGGAGCTCCTCGGCTGGTGACAGTGACGTCCCGAGGAACCCACCATCCAGCACCCTGACCTACTGAACCTGACAGCTCAGCAGCAGCACGCCACAGAGGAGGCTCAGCCCAGCGTGGCATGACTCAGATGGCCCCTGGGGAAGATGCACTCCGGATGCGACGTCAGCGTCCCTGGGCCACAGCACTCTCACACCATGGTGAGGCACAGCCGTCCTAAGTCAGAGACCGTGTGTGTGGTGGGTCAGCAAACACAGATCAGCCCGGATCAGTGAGCCCAGGCAGGAGGGAGTCCCCACGGCCCCGAGGCAGGAGGGAGTCCCCACGGCCCCGAGGCAGGAGGGAGCCAGCACCACGGAGCAAGGACAGCGAGCACTGGACGGTGACGAAGCTGGGGGTGGGGATCGGAATCAAGACCTGGGAAGGGCCTTTAATGGGTATCAGAGAGGCCAGCCGGCGTCCAGGTCTCTGCGCGGGGTTCTCGTTGGCATCGCACAGTCAGTCCAGAAAGCCCACCACAGTGCGCCCACAGCAAGCCCTCCCCGCCTTCCGTGACTCTGCCTGGCCAGCCTTGGCTGGTCATTAGCCGGGGGCAGGGCTGTGCTGAGCTCCTTGGTGGCCAATAAAGAATCCCTTGGGTTCTGTCCCTGGCTCCTGGGCAGCGACCTCCAGAGGCTTTGGAATCTGGGAGGCATAAGGATGGATTTTGATGTGTGTAAGGAGCCCCTTGATCAACTGGACCATGGGCCCAGGGGGCTCCTAGTGGGCTGCCCATGGTGTGGGGGTGAAACTGGCCATGCACCTGACGAGAGGCTGGACATTTCCCTCCACTTCTCCGGGAGGAAAAGGGACTGGAGACGGCTCCAGCCCACGGCCAAGGATGTAACGAGACCCCGAGGAAACCCTGGACACCCAGGGCTCAGGGCATTTTCTGGTTGGTGAGCACCTAGCTGGGCCGGGCTGGGAAGGGGCCGGGAGCTGTGTGGGACCCTGAGCCCTCGCCCTCGGTGCTCTGTATCCTGAACCCATCAGCACAGCCTTTTCCTGAGACGCGGGAGCCACTCTGGCAACCATCAAACCATGGTCATGGGAACCCGCCAGGTGTGGCTGGTCTGTGACAGGTGTGGTGGCCCAGGCCCGCGGCTGGCATGGAGCCAGGGAGGTCTTGGGGACTTTGCCCTAGACCCCGGAGTCAGATGCCAACACAGTGGCCAGTGCTAGAACAGACTCCAGGGAGAGGGCAGCCATGGCACCCTCTGCAGCTCGCCAGGCCAAAGTGCAGCGCCTCCCGTGGGCATGCAGGGCCACCCGGGCAGTGACCAGAACATGGAATCCACCCTGGACTCTGCAGCATCTCATGCCAACACCAAGCAGTGAACCCCTCTCCCCATCTGCCCTCCTTCCCCAGGCCAGGCTGATGGTTTTCAGGGCTCAGAGAACAGCCCAGTCTCCCCCACTTCCTCCCTGAAGCCACAGAGACCCAATGCTCTGCAAACCAGAGACGTGCACAAACCCCCGACCCTGCAAACCCCCATCTCCTTCAAATGCTTTTCCATTGCAAATGCCAGCTCCAAGGGCGCTGCGGCGGGTGGCAGCCTTACCTGGCAGTGGGAGGTGAGGGCAGCTTCGCTGGGGCAGGAGGCCCGGGAGGTTCTTCTTGGAACTCCCCTGGGCAGAGCCAGCGTTGCCGGGACGCACTCTAGGTTCCCAGGGACAGATTCTCAACCTGGAGGAAAAGAGAAGAAAGTAAAGCAACATCAAGACCAAGTACCCTTGAAGCATTCTCATCTTGATCTAAAACAGATACTGGCATTAACAGATGAGCGGGGACCAGGGTCCAAGAGGCTGTCACCATGGATCAGTGTCCCTCCAAAAAGCACTTTGCATCTTAAGCCCCAGGAGAGGAGAAGACTCCAGGGGGAAATGGCCACCAGACCCTCCTGCCAAGCAGCGGCACCCAGGGCCACTCCACGGCCGGCCCCTCTCTCTTGCTGCCCACATGCTCAGCTCCGCAGCCTGGTGAGGTGGGACCCACTGAGCAGCCCCACTGTCTCTCAGGCCGTCCTGCTCTTTCCTGCTCCCTCCAGCCTGGACTCCACAGCCAGTCACTACCTCCCCTCCCTCCCTGGGGAGGCCCCTCAGTGACATCGTTGCCCCGATCACAACCCTCAATGGTGTCGTGCCTCATTTTGAGGAGACGCCCTGCTTTGATGGTAAGTCCAGCTCTCAGACCCCTGAGGCTGACAGGACTGGGGACCTCTCTAGGAAACCAGGCCAGAGGACGGAGGCAAAGCTCAGACGCAGGCTCGTGCACAGGGTCCCCGCGTTCATGGACAGTGTGGTGGTAAACCCTCCTCTGCCTACTGGACCCTTGCAATGGCCCCTTCTCCTACTCCACTCCCTGGTTCCCCTGCAGCCCTCCGCCCCTGGCTGGCTGCCCCTCAGGCCTGAGCACGCCTCCCCCACCATGCCGTGCCTCTGTACCGCATGCTGCACCGTGAAGTGTTCTTCCCCACATACGTGGCTCACTCTCCACCCCCATCCCACCCTCACCCCAGCACCCCCAGGAACGCTGCACATGTGGCCATCTCCCATTGAGGGCCCCCCAGGGAGAGAACTCCCCATTAAAAGCCCACTACCCCTTGGCACTCCTGACGCCTTGCTCCATGAAATCCCCCCAGGAGAATCTGAGATCTGAATCCCCAGAGCCTAGAAGGTGCGTTTGTGGGGGCAGAGCCCACTCAACGCCTTGTGAGTGGGTGATCTCCCACTGTTACTCTGCCCCACCGATGCCTCTGGATTTACATCGAACAGAACCCCACTCTCCAGAGTCAGGGTCCAGGGAACAGGAAGCGGGTGGTTTCTGGTGGTTTCGTCGGTGGGGGCTGGTTGGGGGCCATAGGTACCCGGGCCTTGGAAGACTTCCATTTGGTTAGGAGTGTGGAGAGCCACTCTGAAGGGGCCTGGAGACTGGCTCTGGTTAGTTATGACTCCTCAGTCAGGACTGGAGGAGCCCCAGCCTGTCCCACCAACAGCACGACTGCCCATCCCCAGATCTCTTTAGGACGCCACGGCCAAGACTAGCAATTTTTTTTTCCCTTTTCCTAAAATCCAGGCAGTTAGTGGAGCATGACCCCCGTCCAAATGTAGGGATGACGGCACAGAGAGCCCAGCCAGCTCCAGGAAAGGCCCAGCGACGCCTGCCTGCCCCGTGACCACCTCTGCCAGGCACAGGTGGGGCACAAACCCCAGGCTCCAGGGGGCTGCGCCTCGTGGGAACAGCAGGGTGCGTTGGAACCCCCTGTCCTATCTCCATGGTCAACAGGCAGCCAGGGAGGAGCTGGGGGACAGCATAGGGCAGAAACCAGGTGGAGGACCAGGTGGAGGAGGAAGGGAACAGCCAGGTGGAAACGGCTGACCTGAGCTGGGGGGCGGAGGGGCAGGCTGCTCTCAGACGAGGTCCAGTGGCTGATCTGGGAGCCTGCGGCATGACCTCAGGGCCAGGTCGCAGACAGACCAATGGCCCAGGGAGGAGCAGCTGTGTGGGACTGCACCCCGGCTCTGCAGCCACCTTGCAGGTTCAGGGGATCACCCCGGAAGTCACCCCCAAGTCTCTGCTCTTGCTCTCAGGTCGCCTCCTCCAGACATCTCCCCGAGGCACATGGAGGGGTGGTCCCTGGACTCCCCGTGCTCTGCTCTCTCTCCCTCTGCTTTCTCCCCCACCTCCAATGCCGAGGGGGCCCAGGACCTGGGCGATGGGTCAGGCGGGTCTGCTTGTGGGTTCCCTGGGCTTTGAGGCAGACAGAACTGCCTCACAAGCAGCAGAGGAAAGGCGAGGAGAGGCACCCACAGAAAGGTGGGCCCGGGGGACCTCCCCACCTGGAAACAGAAGGAGCCCCTGGGGAGCAAGCTGCCCGGAGGATGGGCACGTGGACTCGAGGAAGCTGTCCAGCCAGGGATCCCCCCCAGAGTCCCTAGTGCCTCAGCCCCTGAAGCAGACAGAGAGGGCACAAGGGTAGGAAGGGAGGCACAGTAAAGGAACCCAAGAGGCACCAAGCCCTCCTCCCCGGGAGGCTGGTCTTTACTAAACCTAAAGCCCCAGCCACTTTGCATCCCCTGCCCACAGGCACCCTCGTGTGCACCCGGAGAGCCGCGCCTCAAGCACCCCGCACATCTCCAGGCTGCACCTCCAACCACTTCCCTGAGACAAGACATCACTCCATTTTAACACATTGTGCACAGCCCCACTGTGGCAGGGGACATGCTGGCTTCAGAGTGAGGGGTCGGGACCATCCTGGCTGCCATCCTCCTGGGCCCAGCCTCAACCGGGGCAGGTGGGTCTCGGGGCCAAGAGGTGGCTAGTGCACCCAGGCCTCTCTCGCTGTGTGGTCAATGGAGGCCCTGCACCCAGCCCCACGGAGAGGCCCAGCCGGCTTTCGCTTTTCTCAATGGGGCTGAGTGGAGATCATGCAGCGGCCTGTCCTGACTGGGAGGCCACACTTCTCCCGGCTCTGCAGCAGGAAACACCATCCATCACCCACAGCACAGAACACAAGCCGCAGCCTGACACACCACCCTGTGCCCTGCACCCCCAGCCACTGCAGGTTTAGGGGACCGCCAGGCCCTCCCACCCCAGCATGTGCCCCCCACTTTGCAGGATGCCAGAGGGATCAAAGGGGCGGGCAGTGAGAGGCGGAAAAACAAGGTGGCCCTGAAGCCTCTCTCACGGCTCTGGCTGTGCTGCCCGCAGACATGGGTGGAGAGGAGCAGGACTGGGTGGGCTCCAGGAGGGAGGAGAGGTGCGCACTGGGCTTGCCCGGGGACCCAGGGTCAAGGGCACCGTGCACTATTCCCCCATGAGTCACTGGTGGGGACAGAAGGGTTCGGTGTTTTGAGGTGGGAGCCGTGTTGTTCTCACTCTATGAAACCACATTCATTGTGTCCCACTGTGTGCGGAGAGCACTGCCAGGCCCCGACGGTGAGCCTTGGCACGCTCACTGCCCAGCACAAGGGGGACGAGGCGCCAACTGCTGACCTTCAAGCAGGGAAGTGTCGAGGGCCAATTTATCTTTTTCAGCTGCAGGGAAGTCCAATGGGGAACCCTGAACCCTCAGCACACGTGTGCACGCGTACACACACACACACACACACACACACACGTGCACGCATATGCTGCACTTCTGCCTACAGGACACCCCTGCGGTCAGCGAGGTGCAAAGTGTCACTGTTGACCACGACTTTTATCTCTTCCTCAAGATCCTTCTACTTGCTCTTTCAGGATCCAACCCCTTTACTCTAGTGGTGTGGCCCCCCAAAATAACTTGGGGGTCCAGGAAGGCTTAAGTTTCCCAGGAAGCCTGGCCATGGGTGGGGGAAGAGCTACAGAGTGTGAGGTGTGGTCCTGCCAAGGACCAGGCGGTGCCAGGCTTGGGGGAGCTCAGTCTCAGAAGGACCCCACCAGCAGTCCGTCAACTAACAGCAAGGGTGGCTACTCCCGCCCATGGCCCCTGAGGGGCCAGCACCCGTGTGCAGGAGGCTGGGGCTCTCTGAGTGCTCTGGCCCCAGAAGGCCTCTCCCCAGACTCTTGTCTGAGAGAGAAGATGGAAAAGGAAACTCTTCAAGCCAACAAAGGAAGACGAGGTGAGGGTTGGAAGGAGAGAAGAGGAACAGGAGCAGCGGGGACGGGGAGAGAGGGCCCTAGGGACGAGGCACACATGTCATCCAGCGGGGACGTGGAGGGATGCAGCTGAAGGGTGCTCTGTAGTGGGAGCAGATGCCACAGCAGACAGGCCAGGCGAGGGGCGCTGTCCTGCAGGGGTCACAAGGCTTGGGACAGGCAGGAGAAAGGCCGCAGAAGCAGCAGGTGGCCGGTCGGCAAGGGCTGGTCCAGATGGCCTGGCTGAGGCACACGTGTTCAGGAGGGTCCCAGAGTGACAGGTGAGCACCTGCTAGGAAGAGTGGGCCAAGATGGGGACGGGCGGGGCTGCCATCATCACCACCGTGTCATGGAAACAGGACAACATTAGTCACAGGAGGGCAGACTCAGGCCAGTCTTTGTGCTGACACACGGTAGGCGCTCAGCCCGTATCGGGGAAATGCAGGATGGAAAGCAGAGGGAAGCCCATGGGGTGAGTAGCCGTGCCTCGTTAGAGCTCGGAGCTGACGTGAGCAAGGACACAGGGAGGAGAGGAGGTGCCATGCCACAGTGCCCCGGGATGGCCTCCGGCCTGGGTGGGGGCGACCGAGAGCACCCCCACTTTCTGCACTGCCAAGTGGACTAACACCTCAAAGAACCCTGGAGTCCCAAGACCTGGTGCCCTCAGCTGTCCCTGCAGAGAGAGCCCCCCAATCTATCTGGATTTCCCCCCGAACCCCCAAAGAGGAAGACACACTTGGACTTGAGGACCCAAGGACAGGCTGGGGATATCAATGGTCCTTTATAATTTAGGGGTCATCTGAGGAAGTGGCTTTATTTATAGGATTCAAGATGTGGTGCTGCAGAGGAGCAGAAAGGGCCTGGGAGTGAAGGAGAAGCCCCCAGCCCCAAGCCCAGGGGGCTGGTATCTGGGGAGGACAAGGGCGCCCCCTCTGGGAAAACGTGGTCCTGCAGGTAAATTCAGGGGCTATTTATCTGGAGGCCAAGTGCCTGGGAACAGGCCCCTGTCCAGCTCAGTGACATTCCTTGGAGTTTCGGGGGTGATGGGGTGGGAGGAGTCCACCAGCTTC